AGTTTGCCCACTGATAAATGCGCACTTTGAGGAAGCATAAACTTTCTGTATACCACAAGTACGTAGATAGAAGTTTTGTCGATAATATGCCATATTTTCATGACGATGAAGTGTCCCTAACCATCGAACTCTAAACTTTACTATGTAAGTACCAGCGGAACTGCTGTGAAATTAAAGCAGACGTGATAATTTGTCCGAAAGTATACCATGGTGTACTTTTCGCTAGGACAGGGCACTGAGAATGCCTATCCATCAACCAGCTCTTGTATAAAATCTGTATTCGTCAAGCCGTCAAATGACTGAAAAGATTTTGGGAAAAGAGTTCTGTATAGCGGAATAACCCAGACCGAAGAGAACGTTTTGAAGTCAAGACGCAAATCGGAGATATCCAGCAGTGTGCATGTTGAAATCAATGCGCATGGTCGTGAAAGGACAACAAAAGTACGCTCAAGAGCTTCATGAGATGGTAAGAGGATTAGAGACGAGCGGACACCATCGACCACGACTGTTTGAAGACTTAATTCAGGCATATTCGTGCAAAACAGTTCCAGACGTTGAAGAATTAGCCTCAAGTGAGATAATGATGATTATGGAACACCTCAGAAGAAAAACGAGGATACCAGCCGACAATGTTCGTCAGGGTCATCGAACAATGGCGAAACCATGAAACACTGATCAATCTGAGAGATTAAGTACAGCCCTGTAAAAGTTGAAGACGGAATAGGGAGCTCTACGTCACCCAGCGTAATGAAGGGACCTCAAACCAACCAAACGTCTTGACAATTTCATTCCACGTATGTGTTCAACAACGGTGTCAGCAACAACAACATCCCCAAAAGGTTCGAAAACTCAGCAACAAAATTTCGTCCTGATAGAATAATTAAGGACACAAGTCGGTGGTAAACTGTAGACTTCTGACATCTTTAGTAAATATGGAAGGGAACAGCAGATTTTATAGATGTTGTGGAATAAACGGATGGCCGGCAAGCTCTACATCCCTCTACGGTGCGCAAACCAGTCCTAGAATCGTATAAGAAGAGCTCCTTATCATCCACAAAAGCTTGCAACCGCTTGAAGTGAAGGCCTAGGAACCATCCAGGTCCAGGAGAGCTACCTCAGAATTCCAAACAGAATTCAGAAAGACAATTTGATCAGCATTCCACGACATTCGCGAGGAAGACAATATCCTCAAGTAACAATTGAACGAAAAGGTTAATAACAAGACCTTCGTGGACGATGGATGCAAAGCATGTTTGATGCTCGACCCTGCACAATGCGTGGATATGAGTCATAAAAATAAAACTAAGTAAGCAGTAAGGTTTACAATGGGCTCTGAAGAATGTTTATTCGAAGTTGAAAGCCAAACACCGAAATTGCCCACCCCTCCACCTACTCCACCCTCGCAAACTAACTGAGCGTGGTCCACACCATCGGAGGGTTTGAGCAAACTAAGTACTTTTTCAGAACAACCTTCCTGCACTTCCTTATCATCATTCATCATAGATTTCATGTACAAGCATTCACGAGTGTTCAAACAATAAAGCAAATACCTCAGTATTACCATGTCCAACCAAACGTAGGTTTTCTGCAGTATTGCGTCAAGTTGAACGCAGCAGTGCAGAATTCGGGTAGAAAATGGCGTGCCAAAAGTTAGTCGTCTGCTCCTCAACGTCTTCAAAAATAGTTTTACTTCAGTGGATAAATCAGTATTCCGTGCTGTTGCTGATTCTGTAGAACTGTTCTGTTAAGTGATATACCTGTTGTATGGCTACCTAGTTTTCCACAGACGTTTTTTATGCTGTTCACCTTGAGCAAACGGCGCGTGATCGAAGGTCTCCTGCAATACACATGGTATCGATCCCCGCACCCCTGGCCCACCAAGCCTTCCATCACTCCAGGATTGGCAAATTGTTACCAGACTTGTCTGGGAGGATAGCAACACTGGTTCGATGCATCGGAAGGCCACCGCGAGTCATTGTAAAAGCCAGATATACGTTCAATCACCTCCAAACGATGCTTAATGAAGTCTAATGCATGGCGCATCCCTAAGGGTACTTGGATGACCCTTCTTCACTGATTGTGCGGACCACGACATAATTTCTATGTTTTCGGAGTTTTGGTAGTTTAGTTATTGTGGTTCTCTAACCAAGCCAGAAGAGGTCAACTTATCCAAGGTTTCCCCAGGTTGTTACCACCACGGGTAGTCACCGCCCTTGTGGATCAGAAGGAGATTTGATACCATGTGATTATTCGATGTTTTTCTTCAATAAGCAGACACGAGGTTGTTGTTATAGAATTTATTAGGATACAATAGCTGACGTTTCGGCGGTTTCGCCTTCTTCAGAGCCTGGAAAGGCCAAATTGAGATGGGACCTATCCAGCCAAACACTTTCATAACCCCAGCAGATAAAACTTAGCAAATAAATTTCCATTCACATAAGAAACAGCTTCATTTAAACACCTACCGTTTATTCGTTGTAAGTATCTAAGTTAGTTGATGGATAGCAGCCGCACAGAGTAATACATGGTCGAGGACTGCGCCTGCGTCAGGTCACTAGATTAGCCTGAGGTATCGCGCCAGGTCGTATACGTTCAATCACCTCCAAACGATGCGTCATGGCAAGACACTCCTGCTTGCGGCTTATTTTTGAATTTTTGGAAGTGATCCAAAACGCCTCAAGAGTTTTACGCGCTGATGTTTTTGATTCGTGCGTGAGGATAGTGACTCCTACTTCAAAATCTCCGTTGTGTTCCTGCATCCTATGCGCGCCTAGTGGAGTGTTTGGTTTTCATTTAGGTTTACCGACTTGGTGCTCTTTTATGCGGACGCAGAGCGGTCTACCCGTTTCGCCAACGTATTCCTTCCCACACACGTTACTAGAGATCAAATAAGCTGTAACCGAACTCATGCAATCACTTTCTCTACTGTTAGCGCAAATTATGCAGTTTTTCGTTTTACATAGGCAGTCATGTAGGCGGCTGCGAACTAGCTGACGTCCTAGAGTGTCCGATGCTATTCTTATCACTCTTACGGAATTCTCTGGACCGGCCCTTATCAAGCAACGTTTTATAGCTGCACTTATTTCGTTTGAAATAAGGATCAAGAGAAACGGAGCCTTGTTTTCGCTAGAATTATCACTCTGGGGCGTGGTTTTTCATCATTTCCTATGACGAGAAGCTGCAGTTTCTTAACCATTTGAAATGGCTATTTGGCACGCCAGTTTCGAGGATTCCTCCCTCTACTCTCTACCAGTGCACACGCTGGCGGCGGTTCGAAACATATTTCTTATAAGCGTCCTTTTAGTGTGTGAGGGATGAGAGGAGCGTTAATAAACCACTATACTCTTATTGCTTGGCTTTCGATACCATTTTGTGATGACCATGCGATTAGTTTGATAACAGAACGGTGATGGATCCTAGTATTGGTTTAATCTTATCTAGGCTTCCCCATGGAAATGCCTGTCTCTTTTTCAGCTTAGAGGCCTCTGCTGCGGAATGAATCCTCAGCATTACATCGCAGCCCGACACCCAGGAATACCTCCCAGACATGATGAGGCTATGATCCGTTGAGGCGCGAGGATATTTTCAGTTAGTGCTTATAAAGTTTTGACTTCATGAAGAAACGTGCCGGCTCCTGCAAATTTTCGCATAAGTGATACATTACGACTTGGCAGGACTTTTCACTTATATCACGAGATATTTCCGGTATCGTTCCGGATGGAATCGATGGACTTCACAACTCGAATAACCATACGCAGAGACGATTTTCCATTGCACATCGTCTTTTGACAATCAGAGCCCGTTCCCCGCCATGATAAGGCGACAAACTGTTGGGGATTGTCACTAAAACGGGCTTCTTATAAAAAGGATAAGACGATAAAGCCCTCAGCGTTGACCAATGCCTGGGAGATGCGCCATGCATGCGACTTCACTAAGCATCGTTAGAGGTGATTAAATGCATATCTCGCCTTTACAATGACGCGCGGTGGCCTCCCGATGAATCGAGCCAGTGATGATGTTCTCCCAGACAAGTCTCCTACCAATTTTGAAACCCCAGAGAAATGGAAGGCTTGGTGAGCTTGGGTGTGCGTTGGTCAATCCCAGATATATTGCAGGCGCATCCTCATCCACTGCGCTGCACGCACACCTGGGCTTCCTATGCAGTGCAAAGTCCAGTGAAATATTACGATCCTGATAGTAAGGTGGCTTATTATGTGACACTCCTCTGCATTATGTCGGTAAGGTGCACAGCTTGCTTTATGTGGAAATGTAACAACTTTATTGGTAAGGCGGTTGCATTTGAGTAGGGGGAACAATAGGGTTGCGATCGTTGAAGGTCCCGTGACGAACATGCTAGCCGCTCACGCAACGCATCACGGCGTGCGTCGCGCTTTTCGCAGTCGACCTCGTGGCGTCGAGTTTTCGGGGGATCTTTCGTTTGTAGACCGTGAACGCTGTTGTTGTTTTGACCCTTCTTTCTAGTATTTTACCTCGAAAAGGTGTCCAGTTATTTAGTTGTGGTCTGGAACTATGCAAACGCAACTTAACCTGTTTAGGTACTAAGTACTGCTGTGAATCTAGTAGTACTGGTAAAGTTGTCAACCTTTCATTAGCTGCTTATTTTAATTTTCCCGGCAGGGTATGATGTGAAATAGGACCGTAGCGATGCTGAGATATTCCCAAAACTTGGACCACGAGCCAGATCGAACCACGATTACCCTTTCCGAGGGCACGCTTACCAAACACTGCACCATTATGGCCCTTACTTTGCGTTTATCTCGGCTAGTTTTCTACCTAGTTGTGACTAGTGAAGTTGTTCGTACAATGGCTTGGCCTCGTCATTTTTCTATCGGAATATTTGATATCGAGGCGTTATCATACGGACGTCTTTAAGTGTTTTTGCCCACGTTTCATTTTTCGGTAATCTCATCAGCGTTGTTTAGTAGGGCTTTTTCTCTGTATTTCAGGTGAGCATTAAACGTTGTGTTAGAATATAAGTCATGGATGATGAACAACTTTTGGACTATGAGGAAGAGCAGGAAGAGACCCATGAACCGAAAACCGCTGAGAATGGCTCAGGTGATGCGAAAAAAATAAAGGTAACTTTAATATTTTTCATGAAGTATGGGTGGAGTTATTGTTGCCGTTCTAGGGTAACTATGCCTCTATCCACAGTAGCGGTTTTCGTGATTTCCTGCTGAAACCCGAACTTCTCCGTGCAATTATCGATTGTGGTTTCGAGCATCCATCCGAAGGTATGGCGTGACTGGTAGTGTCATGAAGTTGAGATTGGAATTGATTTTTCGTCGAACGTGATTTTGAAATCGAATATAGAAAGATTGTGCCGATGGATCGCGTCTTTCAGTACAACATGAATGCATTCCTCAAGCTATCTTGGGTATGGACATCGTATGCCAAGCGAAATCTGGTATGGGCAAGACTGCGGTCTTCGTGCTTGCTACTTTGCAACAGCTTGAGCCGATAGATGGCGAGGTGCATCTTATTTTTGTACGAACTGACTTATGTTTTGGTAGAAAGGGTGAAAGAGGATGTTTCGTGCTCTTTTACTGTGTTTTCTGCTATGTTCAAGTTTTTTAGGTCTCAGTGTTAGTAATGTGCCATACGCGCGAATTGGCTTTCCAAATCTCTAAGGAGTATGAGCGTTTCAGCAAGTACTTGTCTTCTATCAAGGTAGTTTACCTTTCGTTTCCGGTAAATTTCACTATTTATTGCTTGGTTTGCGTTGTTTAGGTTGCCGTGTTTTTTGGTGGTATGCCAATCAAGAAAGACGAGGAACTGTTACGTACAAATTGCCCCCACATAGTCGTAGGCACACCAGGACGTACTCTAGCCTTAGCGAGGTCTGGGAAGTTGAAGCTTGATAAGATCAAGTACTTCGTTCTTGATGAGTGCGACAAGATGATCGGGGATGCTGGTATGTGCTCAAATACTGTAGTGTCCATTAAGTTTTCAAGCTATTAAATTGCGTTCAGACATGCGCCGTGATGTCCAGGAGATTGTGAAGATGACGCCTCAGGAAAAGCAAGTGATGATGTTCTCCGCTACTCTTCCCAAGGAGCTGCGCATCGTCTGCAAGAAGTTCATGCAAGATGTAAGCTACGCATCCTCGTTCTGTGGATTTCTCCACCGCAGTGGTGAAGTATCATGCGGCGGATTTCGAGGAAGAGATTATACACGGTAGGTCATAGTCAAAGGTTAAAGATGTCTTGTTATCCTTTCTTATTTTAGGAACGCTCCGGCGTTTTAAGTGTTAGTCTCTTCCGATGGACCGGCATCATTGGTGCTGAAGATGTTATCGTGAGGTTCAAAGACAATCAGAGGTGCAATTGAGGCATCCATGGGTGACCGCAGTATGTCCCTCGGTGTCTTACCGACATCAGCTTTTTGCCTGCATAGTGTTCCTACAGTTGGAAGAACTTACGGTTCTGGAGATAATGTTGTATATTTTTGAACAATTTCTTTGTCTTACAGCCCATGGAAGTTTATGTTGATGATGAGGCAAAGCTAACTTTACATGGCTTACAACAGCACTATGTCAAGTTGAAGGAAGTTGAGAAGAATCGGAAACTTCTGGAGCTTCTAGATTTGCTCGAATTCAATCAGGTTTCACTCACAATATAGCATAACATGATTTGCAACCTGTTCTTTTCATTTGGAATTTGGCAGGTCGTAATATTTGTCAAATCGGTGCAGCGGTGTGGTGCCCTTCATCAGTTGCTATCTGAGCAGAACTTCCCGTCAATTGCCATCCACAGGCAAATGCCGCAAGAAGAACGTCTTGCCCGCTATCAGGCCTTTAAGGACTTCCAGGTTTGCCAGCAACACTTAAATTTTGCAAATGCTGACGACCTGTTCGAGGGGCGTCGTGCAAAAACAGTTGAAGAGATTGAAGAATATTGCATCAGCTACTTATCAAGTCTCTTTAACGAGCTGACGAAGCAACTTTGTTGAGTAAGACAGATGGTCTTGTATTAGGTGACACTGAGTTTACTTCATTATTGACTGGTTGCATTTAGAAGCGCATCCTAGTTGCTACGGATTTGTTCGGACGTGGAATGGATATTGAGAGGGTCAACATTGTTTTCAACTACGACATGCCTGAGGATTCTGATTCATATCTACACAGAGTATGTTCACCATTGTCGTCTTAGTAGTAGGTTCCGTTTTTCATAGTTATCAAGGTACTTTTCAGGTTGCTCGCGCTGGAAGGTTTGGTACGAAAGGTTTAGCAATTAGTTTTGTGTCCGATGAGATGGACGCGAAAACCTTGAATAGCGTGCAAGATAGATTCGATATAAGCATCACTGAGCTACCAGAAACCATAGATGTTTCGACCTACAGTGAGTTGTTTTCTTTGTCATATGTGTACACCTGTTTCGTCACTTAATAAGTTTTTGTTTAGTCGAAGGCAGAACCAACTGAGGCTATCAGGAACACGTTTCTTTGAAGAGTTGAAAAGCTCTTTTTTATTTTGATGTTGTCATTGCATTAAATTTTTTCAAGTGGTCTCACGTTCACCATTTCTTTGTTTCCATTAGTTATGGTTGGATAAATAAATTCGTATGATGGGGATAATTTGTAAATTGGTGACGGAAATGAAGTGCAGAGTTGTAATTATGAATCTATAGGAGCTTCGTTTTTGCTGATGGCACTGATCGATAGGACTAGCTGAGACGTGGGGGACTCGCATGGTGTGGTGGTAAACGCGTTTGCATCCGAAAAGGGTGATAGCGCGCTGGTTCCCCAGTGCAGACAGCTGCCGTTTGGAGTTTTGCAAATATTTCAGCACCATTGAAGTTATATTTCACAACATCGGCTGCCATTAAAAAAGAGTATGCAGTAAGTAGTGGGCTAAAATTTTGGTTATAACTACAAACTCAGCTTAGCTGGGTGGGTTCATTGGCGATTTGGGCTTCTTGGATCAATGACGAGTGGTTGCTAATGGCACTGATCGATAGAACTAACTGGGAGACAAGCACAACGAAGGACTCGCATGGTGTGGTGGTGAACGGGTTAGCAACCATAAAGGGTGATAGCGCGTTCGTTTCCCGTCGCAGACATCTGTGGTTCAGAGTTTTGCAAATATTTCAGGACCATCGAAGTTATATTTTACAACATACGCTGCCATTAAGAAGAGTATCCAGTAAATTCCGAAGCGTGGTTCATATTTCCGATACGAAATGCCCGATCATGTGCTTTTCTTCAACGGTATCCATCTCGTAATTATCCGATAAGCAGGTTCTGGACCATGTGAGGACATATGCTACGACATTTGGATAGTTGTACTTATGTTTCCATGGAGTAGAGACTTGGGTTGCATAGAAAGTTTCAAATCTCTTTTTTTATGGTTCCCACGCTTTGGACCTGGATCTGAACGCTAGCGATTGCTTAGTTTTTTTTTTAGCTAAAGGAGAGGGAGAACAACTGAAGGCCAGAGAAGGTCAGAAAGGTCGAGTTCGACAAGTGGGTTAACTGTTCCTAATACCTCTATTGGAGCCATAGAAGCAGGTGGCGTTCAGTGTTAGGTGATCAGCCTTTGGGTATCGGTGCATTGGAGAAGCTACTCGTCTCACTGTCTACGTGAAATCCACGGGGCGTTCTTCAGCGATTGATTGAAACCGGATGTTTTATCCTTTTATCCTTTTGACACAACTAAACAGTGGTGCTTTTTTTCATGAATCATTTGCGTACTTGCTAACTCATCTTCGGCTAGTGTGTCTTTGTGAATGGAGTTCCATGCATAAACGTTATGCATCGCGAAATAGTGGAGAGTGTGTCTATTGATTATTGCAGCCAACGAATTGCATTAACTTTGTAGTCATTTTCTACTCATAGTCAATTTATCTCCCCAAATCAATCCCGTTAACGGGTTATTGTTAATGGCACCTATAGGTCAATAAAATGGCTAAGAGAAAGGCGAAACAAAGGTCTTCCCCGGTGTGGTGGTGAACGCGTTAGCACCAGAAAGGATAATAACGTGTTCGATCCCCACCGTAGTCACAATCGGTGCGGACTTTTGCAAATATCTCGGCATTGTTATGGTTGCATTAACTGTTTTTAATTAACTGCTATTTTCTAGTTAAATGGTCTCTTCTGCCGCCAACAGGTTTCCTTATTACATGGTTCAATTCTACAGACCCTTTTGTACACTTTATTGAAGCATTGCTAAATGTAAAGCAATACTATTACCATGAGACTATCACAATATGACGCCTTCTCTTTAGTCTGTAGGTTCCCATGTCCTTTCTGCTTTTCTTTTTCCACTTTGGTAAAACTCGATAACTCTAGTTTAAGCGAGGAATAGCCACTTCTGGAAATTCAAGGCACACCATCCGAGCTCCAAAGACTCTGATTTTCTGTTTTTTGCACACGACGTAGCTGCATTGGAGGGTCTCCACATTTTCACACACTGTCACCGGCTCTCACAAATGGAAGGACGGTATGCATCCTTCTACATCAGTCCCCTTCGAGACTACGGAGATTCCTGTGCTAACAGTGAATTCTGTGATTTTTCGGTCGATCTTTCAATGGATCGCGAAAGAGATGTAGCAAGGTGGACCATGCAATGGACTATAGCGATTCCTCTACAGTGATTTTCCGCTCGTTTGAAGGATTTGGTGAACTGATTTTTCTTCACATTCCATAAGTTAGAAACCATTTTATTTCTGCATGTTGCTGTCCGAGATGAGCTCCAGATGTGCTTGCCGTTCACTAAAGGTTCATTTTTTCATTTTCTCAAAACACTTATTTGGATGGCCCGTCTTCTTGGTTGTGTGGATCCCAGCATAATTCCCATTTTTTCGTAGTTTTGCTTGTTTAACCATTGCAGTTGCTTGGAATTCCGAGGTCAGCCTAACCAAAGTTTGACCGAGGTCGTCACCACCACAGACAGTCGCCATCATTGTGGATAAGAGGAAGATTTGCAACCATGCGACTGGTTTCATACCAGGACGGTCGTGGATCCTGGTATTAGTTTTCCCTTAGTTAGGCTTCCTAATGGAAACGCCGCACTTCTTCTCAGCTTGGGAGACCCTGCCGGGAGATGATTCTCCCGCTGTACATCGCAGTCCAAGACCCAGCAACACCACCCAGGAACGACGAGGAGGTAAACTGTTGCGAGGACCATTCTTCAAAATAGTTAAAGTTACAACGTTGCTGAGATATTTGCAAAACTCTAGATCGCAGGTGTCTATGGTGGGGAACGAACGCGCTATTGTCCTTTCCGGGGAGTAACGCGTTCACCACCACACCATGCGGGTCCTTTGTTTCCCCTGTTTCTCAGCTATTTCTATCGATCTTTGCCACAGCAATCAATCGTCAGCGGGATTGATCTGGGGCGCCCAAATCGGCATAGAACCCAGTTAAGCTGCGGCTGTAGTTGAAATCACAATGTTATACCTTTTTATTTTCTGCCTACTATAATTTCATGGCAGGGTACTAAGCGAAACACAACCACAACGTTGCTGAGATATTTGCAAATCCCGCTGATGATTGATTGCTGTGGCAAAGATCGATAGAAATAGCTGAGAAACAGGCGAAACAAAGGACCCGC